CCCCCCCCCCCCAACATTAATTTTGCTGGTACCCACGTGTACACCTGGGTGGAGAGAGGCACTGTGAGATTAATTAGTGTGTCTTTCCTAAGAACACAACACTATGTCCTCGGCGAGGACCACTCAATCCGGATTAGAGCGCTGGAGACTAACCATGAGACCACCGCGCCTCCTTTCGACGATCATGGACTGATCACAAACGTTCTCATTCTAAACAATCCCAATTTACGAATTACAGTACAGTTACAGTACTGTTTTTTTTAGAGTTTCTTGTCTTTGTCAGTAAACCAGTTTCTTTTCATTTCAAGCCATCGTGAACAAAGATACTTTAAACTAAACCACAAAATTGCACACATTATAATTGCCACTAACAGCACATCCAGCAAGTAGAGCTTGTAGAACGGTAAGTCCAGACACCGCGGGCGCAGGTGTGGTAATCCATTCACAGCGTGCGTGTATTCGATCCAGTCAACGGCTTCTTGAACAGGAGAGCGAGGCAAAAGTTTGACGAACTTGGACAGTCTGACTGCGGACTCGCGATAACTGTGAACACAAAATTTCAACAAATATGGCATAAATATATTAATGATTAAATACACTTTCATTCATTTATCAATTTAGATAAGTTAATGAATCAAGAAATACGCCATTTAAGTGATATAATTTCTAAATACAAAGACAATCTGAAAGTTGCCATGACAACATGCCATTATGAGGATGTTACTAAGCAACACCTCTGACCAAAATCGCTGGCTCGTAGGTAAGGTAGAGTAACCTAAATGTTTTGCCTGTAAAAGTTGCTTCAGCTTCTCAAAACAGCATACGGCTATATACCTCTGGTTTGATATGACTCTGTTGATGATGTCTACCAACTCATCTGCTGTGATCGTGTCTAAATTCACGACCTCAGCGAATCCTTTCCGTTTAGCTATGTAGGCATTGTCGTACTGATCTCCAAAGAAAGGTGCGCAAATCATAGGGACGCCGTGATACGCCGCTTCCATTAATCCATGACCACCACCATGATTTATGAACAGCTTTGTTTTATTGTGACCAAGGATGTCGTTTTGAGGCAGCCATGATGCCACTTTGATGTTGTTGCTTAATTCAACCTTTGTGCTCTCTGGTAAGGTGTAAAATAAAATGGTATTCCATATGAGAATAGTACCATACTATGTTACCCTGTGTTGGATTGGCATCTAGCCCAGGGATAGTAGCAATTCTCCCTCCGGCAATTCTCCTATACACGCAACAGAAATTACAGTTTATAATAAACTCTGAAATTGAGGAGCCATCACACTCCTCCAATCCCCTAACATGATGCGGCTGGAAGTTAATTAGATTAATTCCTGATTTAAATGCTTCGTTTAACAATATTCAGTCTAAATTGAATTTGTAATCTTGTGTGCTATTCCATATTTCCATTGCGTATGACTTGAGACTTAAATTCCAAATTCATGCAGACAATCTACCTCTAACAAGTTTCCAAATTATTCTTTGTGAAACTCTCGAGAAAGCATTCACCAGTAACGTCGACATATTCTCGTTTATATTTCCCATAACGGTACCAAACGATACCAGAATCACGCCTTCGTTCCCAGACTTCTGTATGAACTCCTCCAAATCTTCCTGTAATGGTTTAGCGGGAGCTGCTAGAAGAGGACCAACGACTTTAGTGTCTAGGAATCGAAGGTAAGGAAAAAATGGAAAATTAGTATTCACATGCACATACAAAAACGAAGAGAAATAGAAGACAACAACCAAGGTGTCTACCACTTAGGGACGGACCATGTTTTTGAAGGGGTGGAGGGTTGGACAATTTTCTGGGCCCGGATGGAATTTTTTTCTCACCTTTAGATTTTCAATGATTTTTTTTGGTGCGTAATAGCTTGCACAATAGTTTTTTTTAACATAAAAAATAGGGCCTGGATAGGAATGCCTTGGCTCCCCTTGCTCAATTTTTTTCCAGCATTTTTTGCTGTGTAGGAATTTTATTGGAAATTGCNCCCCCCAAAAAAAATAAATAAATAAATAAATAATAGCTCGTCCATCCAAAAGTCCCTTGAGTAGCTTCAGTTTCAGCTAGATGGCCTCTGATCCCTGCCTGATCATGAACAATCACGTAACAGAAACTTACTTGGAAAAAGAGGCCTTGGATACTCCAGAATAAAGGGCTTTTGTGAGATGATTAAATCAACTCTTCCAAGAGTCTCATAAACAGTTTCCTGTGGTGTAATATTGTAGCGCTTCTTAAGATCATGAAAAGGAGGCACCATACCATAATTAAAAGCCCAGTGGACAAGAATCCAGTAATAAATGTTTTGCAATCGCTCTACGAAAGAAAGATCATCTGCAAAAGTCGACTTGAACTGAGGTACGTAAGAAGGGGTTAGTGGGACACCAAATGCAAGCATGGCTGGAAGACTGAGAGTACTTGAGACAACAACAATATGTAGTAAGGAGAATTTGCTGGCAATCAGAGACGAGCATATGTACAAGCCATCACCGATAACGACATCAGCGTGTTGTATGTCAGTTGTAAGTTCTTCATCATTCAGTATCCCTTCACAGTACATGGCCATTAGTTTGGAAGTGCTTGCTGTCTCTGTTACTACATCAAGACCTTTCTTCGGCCCTCGCCGAGTAAGCATGATTTGATAGAGCAGCTGAGGTGTCTTATAAATTCTTACGTTCTGATGACTTGTCACGTAGCTCTCTGTATCTCCGACCACAATCTGAACCTAAGAAGCAAATAGCAATAAGGCGATCTGTGCTGACGCCATTGGTTACATTTTGCCTCATTGGCACAGAGAAGGCACAAAGTATCACGTAGAGGAGGCATCAAGTTAGACATGAATTGGGTAAAAGAGCTTATAAACCTTTAAGGATATATGGTAAAAGTTTTTTTCTTTTTTGTACGAGCATGTGAACTTGTAAGATAGTCATAGAACAAACCCTGCAACAATTTTGCCATTTTTTGCCTTTTACAAATGTGTTTGAGCTCCCTGAATGTTCTACCTAGGAAGTCATTTCTTAGATTTTAATCATATGCCGGAACATGTCTTCCCTCATTCCATGGGTGTCATATGTTCTTGATTCGTATTTATCAGAGATTCCTCTGGCTTCTACAAAACAAATTGTACAAGAGAGCTGATATGAGTCTGATGCAAAGGCCTCATTACCATCTCATGCTTTGTTCTGCCTGTTATGTAAATTTACTTGTCAGCTGACAAGATCACAGTAAATTTTCTAATTCTAGATGTTCTTCGTCTTAGGCTTATTAGGTATGACGTGCATTGCTACCCCGTCTATGCAACGTAAATTGTGGCAGCTTCTGTTCAAATCGAAGCTTGCGGTTTACGGTTTATTAAACAGATTGAATTGAAAGCAATGTTTTGCAAATAAACTACGTGGTGTGTGACGAGAAGAGGAATGCCAAGATATGTATCTAATATGAAGAGAAATGCATTTTTCTCCTTCTGCAATCAATTGTGTTCTGTCAAACTAAACGAAAATAGATTGCAGAACTGTTTCGTTCAATTGCGACTTCTGCAGAATCGCTGATTAGGTTGATCCGTTACCAGGGTCGTTACGCAATGCGTCCGCTTTGTTGGGAAAGTCATTGCGTGACCACCCGAACAACGGCTGCAAAGGAGACGCAGATTTTTCACAATACGCGACATTTTTCCCTCTTGGCTCGCTATATGTGTTCAGAAATTATTACTGCCCGAGGAAAATTCATGGAGAAAAGCGTTGGAAAAAAAACAGAAAAAGAAAATAAACCTTTTCACGGCTTTCGAAGGGTTTCTTTGCAAAAGTATTTCGAAAGTTACGGTCTTTGCATTTGCTGTATCTTAGATTCCTATTTTTTGGTAGTAAAAAAGATAGCTCTGACTGCTGATGTGGTTAATGTCTTTCATTCTACCGGTTTATGACCCATTTCGTTTCGTCTCGTTTCGGGACAAGCTTTGACATACACGAAGGCCAACTGCTTGCACACGATGTTTTACAAGTACGTGACATAATGAAAGCAAACCGGCTTTCTCCCTCAGTACTATTTATAATGATAAGCCTCAGCCTTCCTTCATGAATTTAGCAGTATAAATGTAAGCTTTACTTGCCTTCAGCCTACCTCGTGACCTCTTCGTATTAATTCCTCAGAGAGTCTTGTAAACAAAAGAAAATGACTCTTGCCAATCGAGGGAAGCATCACAAACATACCTGCTTGACAATATTTCAGAGCAAGTACAGTAATAAAACAGCGACCTAAGTAAGCCATAACAAGCGAGCTCAGTTCACAATATTCTGGATATGAAATTCGCCAAATAATTTCCTCCTCTCTCCTGTCTTTCTTGTCTTCAGTAGATCTTCGTGCAACGTGACAGAACCGTGCGCCTGCACTCACGTCGCTCAGCGGATTCTCCCTAGAATTTTGTCTGTGTCTATTGCTGGTTTTCATTGTCACGCCATTCAAAATAGATCAAAATAAAAATCAAAACCGTTCAATAGATAAAGCCCAGAATCTGAGAAAAGAAAGAAAGTAAATATGAAAAGACCCTCGCCAAGATTCAGGTCACAGTAATTTTTCTTATGCAAGATATGCGGAGAAACTTTTCACCCGAATTTATAGAGATTTGTAAGGAGACGCCATGCTGGTGCCCATCCGGATCGCCACCAACATGGCGGCCGGAAACCAACAGAAACATCCAGACGTCACTGAGTTTTGTTACAAAAACATTAAAATAACACTTTTTCTAATACAAGAACTGTTCGGATAGCCAAATTACCCGGATTAAGTCACATTTTTAACTAACATGACAGCTCTCTCGGCCGTCATGTAAATGCCGCGTCACGCAAAAGCTCAGAAATTCAAGCGTAGTCTATCACACAACCAAGAACCCATTCGGAGCAAAAATTTGTATGAATATTAGTTTTCAGCTGCTCTTATACATCATGGAAGTAAAATGTCAGGACGATCAATAGTTTTGTAGTTTGAATTTTAGTGACGTCATTTGAAAACCGGCAATACCATTTTGCAGAAGACAAGTTTGATATAAAAAGTGAAAGCGGACA